TCTATTTGTCCCTCTTGAGTAGTACCATGGAGCTTGACCGAGTAAGTTACAAGCAGAAGTTCGTATTGACTTGAGGTCTTGAAGACGATGAAATGTTCAAAACGTCGAATGAATAAAGAAGTGCCATCGTAACAACCTGAATGGCACAAGAACAATAAGCTCTCAGATATTAATTTGGCTTGTTTTGTTTGTGAACTGCTGGCTGGTCGAGTGCCTCGCCCATGAATCAGCATTCTTGTGGAACTTTCGCAACGCGAACTGCGCAGTTAATGAACTTAAAAACTTCATGAAACCTTTATCCCGAGCGCTACCTGTGATCTGCACATGGCCGATAAGGAGGAGCCTTCAGCGAGTTTATGAGAGTGAAGTGAATGACGAATATTTGCTGGATGGATTAAATTGTTTCAGAGGAAGCCCCATGTTTCCGGATTGAGTGCAAGTGCAATGAAATCAACAATGTTGGAAGGACCGTTTCCGATGACTGAAAAAATTATCCACCAGGACCATTTTCGGCGTGGTGAGTTGTTGAACAGTTTTAGTGATATTCCTATACATTAATCTTTAATATACTCACCACCACTGAGCTGCTTGAAAATAACGCTGTATATATTATGGCCACTGAAAGGCCGAAAGCTTGCATTTGGGAAAAATGCCACGATGGAAGGGTTTTTGCGGGCTTTCATGCTCTTCATGAACTGCATAACAGACGACGTAGGCTCTATTCAGAGCCTAGGAGAGGTCAACCACTCACCAGCTCTCATGAAAGGAAGAAATCTACTGACCGGTTCGGTTTAAATACATTTTTTCGGGACCTATTGGAGACCAGGAGGATTTCTCAGAGGGCCTTAGGTGTGAGTAGTTTTTCTATGAGAAGATACCGTCAATCAGTAGAACAATTAGGCTTCAAATGGAAGTATACAAGCAAAGGAAGAGTGAGGAACAACTTACGCGAATGTGTTTGATAGGATCTGGCGTCCATTTACTGTAAGCATTAGCTGATGCATTTCCTCGAATCCCTGAACATATGGAGTTTACTGTGTGTAGGTATTGTTAGAATAAACGGTCAATCGCCCGCCCGGATTAAAAGGAGGGGGGAGGGGTTGTGGAGTCTCGTTTAACAATTTCCGGGAGAGGGTTCCAGTTGGTATTGACGAAGGTGGGAAGGGGACCTTATTCTAAAGAAAATTTAAAGGGTTCTAGTTGCGGGAAAGGATCTTTCTAGTTTTTCATAATCTCGATAAAAACTTCAAAAACGAAGTATGAAGAAAGTGGAGTAAATCAGAGCAATAATACTTGCCCTGCTCACGGGCCGTTTTGTGGGTAGAAAGTTGGTACACCCAGGGTGTGTCAAGTGGTGTCAGAATCAAAATACTGTAGACATAACCATGATGATGAGGGTGGCTGTACGTAGTGTTCGTGTGAATCCCTATTACGTGCTTTGTGTCAGACCCTCCGAGAAGGTGTCAACATTTGCGTAATCCGGCGATTGCAGTAACAAATTCCAACGCGTCCACTGCGAATTCACTCGGATATCACCTCTAGTAACCCCATCCCAAGAGAGGGTTCGTTAAAAAAAAATTAGAAATTGGCCGGACGCAACGATTGAGATCTGACAAGAATTCGTGACGACACAGTGCTATTGAGGTGTATCAGTGGTCACCATCAATTTCTACTGTACCTTTGCTATCGTGTCTGCACACTCCTTGTTGTAGCTGCGAATTGACGCCTCTACCACTTGAAGATATTCTGAAAACCGTGTGTGTTTTTAAATCTCAAATCCGATCACAAATAATGAATTGCGTGACGATGATTAATCTCTTCGAGTAACAAGCATTTGTGTTCCGCTCAGAGTAGCGTGGAAATTGTTCAAAAGTGTTCGTAAAACATGGATTTTGAAAAAATCCACAGTTTCCAAATCACTTTTGGCAGTTTTGAGCATTTACGTACTCTAATTTTTTTTTCATTTTTGAAACATCACATTCACGAGACAAACGCCACCGTTATTGGCAGCACACATTGCTTAGCCATTTTATCGAAGCTACTCTTCGAAGAGCTGACTTAAAGGCAGTGAACTCGATGGCTGAATGGGGACGGATTTAATGACGCCATTAGCCGTCACTAGTTGACTTAATGTCGTCACAAGCTGAGAAGGGTATCTAAGGTGGCTTTAAAGGAATCTTCCACGGACCATGGACCAGTGGGCGGGACCGGAAGTGGTTTTGCGACGAAATGCATGGTAGGTACGGATCCACGTTCATGGGAAGGTTTGAAGTGAATCCTGTTCACGTTCGTGCGTTCGACACGGATCCGTACCTACCATGCATTTCGTCACAAAAACTTCCGGTCCCGCCCACTGGTCCATGGTCCGTGGAAGATTCCTTTAAACAACCCTTTGTCGCTCAATGACGTCATCGGAATCACACCACCCTGCATCCATTATGGATACTGCCCTTATTTCTGAATCCTGCGGTATCAAGCTGTCTGCGAGTAGTATAGAAAATATAGCGAAGATTATGACTAACCAAGATAATACTGAATCCAAACTGACTTACGTAGAAGTCTTAGTTCGCTTACATAAGGGTCTGAAGGAACCAGACTGCCCCAATAACAATACGGAAAAATCTGACGCATTCCACAGCGCGAAGTGAAGCCTGAAAAGCCCCAGTTAATTATCAAATGTATAACGATACTTGGCACCGGTCACCACGCCTGCCGCTCATAACTATCCCATCGCGAACTCATTCTCACCCTAATACCAAATTTTTGTGTAGCTTCGAGCCAGGAAGAGATGTGGCGCGAATTTGTGGCGTCCGGGTGCTGCAAATTCTTTGGATCTAATCCTAGTCTAATACACATACAATCTCACTATCTATTCGTGTTTCCATCAAAGAGTCAACTGTCCGCGTTCGCAACCATTTGCGCCCCGCATCGCCCTTTAGAGGGTCCGATGCGCGCTACTTTACCATAATAAATTAGTGGCTCCCAATACACCCATCCCCTCCCTCAGTCCCGAGCCCCGCCACCTCGTCATCATGGTTTTGTTTCATAGCATTTAATTATTCTGACAGGGGAGGAATTACCAGGTATCGAAAGTGGTCCAATTTGTAAAAATACATAAATAATCAGATCGAGTTGGACGCTGATCTCGAATCCGCCCTCATCTGCGAAACTATTCGTACGTACGTCAAGCGAGATAGTGCACTGGCGGCGGCCCAAGTCGACGAGTAAGAGGTCGTGAGATCGACTTCTTGACGATTTCTTACGTTTTCTTTCCTTGAGCTGAGGATGCTCTTATCCATGCTGAGTTAACAGCGATTGCCTATATTACCAGTTGGGGAATAAGCTAGCTTTGTGAGATCGTCAAATCGAAGCACGGCAATCCGCCGCACTTTCTGCTACTTCCACTTCGAGGGATACAATTGGTGTCATGAAGGCGGCAATAATTCCAATTTGTCTACTTCACGATACTTTCCTGAAAGTTCTACAAAATCCTTCAAAAATTCGTCTAATTGCAACCCTTCTCCACGAGCTACGTTGCCACTATGATAAGCTTGCTCAACCCCAAAATGCGACCCTCCACCTTCCCGAAATCACAAGTGCAACCCCCTCATTCGAAATAGTGGCATCAACGCGGTTTACCGACCCCTGGTACCGCCTGATACCCTAATTAACACCTAAAACATTGCCGCACAATGCACTGTTACCAGGGGGGGGGGGGGGGGGGGGGGGGGGGGGGGGGGGGGCGTAGAGCTGCTTTTTTTTTTCGAAATAAGGATGTTGCTTTAGGCAAAACTCGAGATGATCTGATACTATTGAAATGTGAATCAAGAGGTGCAAATGGTGCGCAATTATGAAAAAAACAAGTGTTCAAGAGGTGAAAAATGAGACCACAGTCCATTTTCCGTTGATTAAGGCAAGAATCAGGATTAAATTGATGGGTGATTCCTACTCAAATGTGAAAAGTAGGGATGAGGTGGACCGCCAGTGGAGAAAAAAGGAAAGAAAATCCTGAAATACACAGGAAATACGAGCATTTTGCTCATGCTGTGGAGAAGTTCAAAAGACAGACAGGGAGATGAGAGATAATGTGAGCGCGGAGAGCGGTAGAGAGAAGTGAGAGCATAGCACATCAACGTGGCGACGCAGACAAGATATCGAACGGTGGGCGGACCATGTTAAGTTTGGTGGAGTCTGTTAGAAGTCCATGGCGCCTAGGGTCCTAGTGACGCGTTTCGATGTAGAAAGGTGGCGCTACCTTTGCACTTGCGTACCCAGCACTTCTAGCCATGGTAAGGGCTTCTTAGGTGGGTCTGAGCCCGAACCTTGCCCTCTAAACACTTTGAATGAGTCGAGCACGACCCTAGCAGAAACGCCAGAAGGGCTGGCTCGCTTAACTGCTCCTCTACCCTCCGCAATGCCCACCATCTCTTTCATGAACATAATTTTTATCGCGAGTTTTACTCTTCGAAACGCCCACTTCTGGTATTTCCACCTTAGGTAATATTCTATGGTGCTTCCATATTTATGCACTGCTGGGTGAGCTAAGTTGTGAAAGCGCCCAGATATGGTAGCGCTTACCTGCATACGATCCACCAAAGACGATCCATTTAGCGGGCTCATCCAATTCAACGTTAACTGTTCTTATGAAATTGGCCACATCGTAGAGCATTTGCATGGACGAGAGATATGATGCATATGGCTTCGTCTTGAATGCACCAGTTGCTCTACAAATATTATCTTAATTATATTTAAAATTATAGAAAGTATAAGCACCCTCCTTTTCAAAAAACGAGAAGAGCGTCGGGTGCAGACCATACACCACAAGTGACGACGGCCTCAAAATAAATCTGGTTGGTAGTGTGTAATTAGTGACAACTGATAATACAACTGCAACAGGCTAATCATTTCATTGGCAGAAAACATTTACATTTTGTGGAGGCCGTCGTCACTTGTGGTGTATGGTCTGCACCCGACCATCTTCTCGTTTTTGAAAGGGAGGGTATAAGGACAGTCGGATAGACACATACTGGAAAAGTTGGCTTTCGCCATAATATCTGTGTTCCAGAAAATACACCGCTGCTCCGAACATTTTCGCCCATTTGAGATAAGTTAGTTTCCCGTTGAGGACCCAAAGAGGGCTTCCCGCCGACTCGCCGCCAATCATCAGAAAGATCGGACCGCCCGGCTTGGCCCATTGTTCGTTTTTGAAGTATCTCTGCAACACATAATGTTCTAATTTCGTTGATAAGTTTCGTACCTATTTTAAATTATCATTTTTAGTTAAGATTATAACTTCATGGAGCGTGATCTTTCAAGTACGATCAGGACCTAAAGACACGCACCGAGGTGGGACCCTGGAGTAGCACGCACGCTAATGAGATGAAACTGTTCGCGGGGCTTACCGATACATACTGTTCACATGACTCGAAACTAGGCGGAATGGGCGCTAGGGCCTTGCCAATGCTCCCCATTAGTCTTCCTGAATGGTCCTCCTAACGTTTGCTATGCAGCGGCCTGTATCTGTGCCCCCTCAGGCCGGCGTCAGGTCAGACTTTGCGAATCGAGCGATTCGCTAGCGTCCGCGGTCGCGTTGCGGTACCAGCCAATTGAGTGATTCACTGGCCGCGACGCGACCGCAGACGCTAGCGAATCGCGCGATTCGCAAAGTCTGACATCGGCCTAATGCTGCCTTTCGCGTTTCTGCCTGCCCTTACCGTCGACTTTACACTTGAGTGAGCCTTTCATCCGTTGCCTTTGTTCGCCTAGTTCATTTTTACTTCCAGCCCTTTGCGCACCTGCCTGTATCATGAGTGCTCCTCACTTTCCTCCTAAAGTTGCCTTGAGTGGCCTATCCTGCTTAGTCCAGGGCTTCTATTGTCGCCAACGCACTCTCAGTGTTGTACCAATATCTCAGTTAATCCTCTAAATACATTAATTTCTCTATTGAAAAATGAACACAAAGGAGATTATTGAGGACCATCAACGTCTTGTGCGCGCGGGGGGTGAGCCTTCTTTCCTGGGAACAGTATGTGGAAAATGAACCATGAGTTCCCAAATAAGTGCTGACAAACATAGCTGAAGACCATTTCCGCATGAGCCTGTCAATTCAGGCTGACTTATTGGGCCTTCCTCGCCTAAAGGTACACTTGCTCCGAAAACGAAGGTGCGCTAGATGCAGACCGCACCCCGCACTGACGACGCCTTCAATCAAATCTCGTAACTAGTGGTCCACAGTGATAGCTGGCACTTGTTAAATGATAGTTGCAATTAGCGAAAACTGGTAGAATACAACGGCAATTGGTTAACATCTTATTGGCAGAAAACAGTTACATTTTGTTGTCGTCGTCCTTGTTGTTGTCTGTGCACTCGATGAGCAGTCTAATTCTCGTAACGAGGTTAATTTGTTCGCTTAAGTTGTTTCAGGAAGAATAAACTGCGCGATTGCATAAAAGCAGCTGTTTTTCTTCAGGTGGTTGTATGCTTTCAGTGTGTAATGTTTTTTATAAGTTGAAAAAACGATAAAAGCATAAGACAAAAATAAATTAATAAAATAAAGTAAATAACAGTAAAAAAATTAAAATGCGTTCTAGACCCACTACAAAATGGTCCTTTTGAATTGAGGAAAATAGATGTATGGATACAAAACAGGGCAATTGGAATGTACTGAAGGTAGGCACCTGAGAGAATGTGTACGGGTTTTGATTGTCGAAGTGGTCCACGGGTTGTGTGAAGAATCCGATTTCGAACACTTCTGATGGACTTGACGGCTGAAATTTGATTGAATTTTGACAAAATTGAACAAAATTGACAAAATATAGCCTATGCGCTCAGCCGTCCATCTGGGCAGCTACTGTGCCATTTTCCCCTCATTCTTCTAGGAAAAATGGTGTTGAATTTTTCGAAAAGAATGGATGGAGAATATTTTCGGGAAGTGAAAATTCTTCTGAGTTCGCCTTTACCTTTTAAACAATCGTATAACCAGCCTTTAGGAATCCTCCCTTGATTTCAAAATCCAACATCGTTTTGAGCGTTTTTACAATTTTGAATGAGATTTGAAGGTACGGCGCATTCAAAGGCTATCGAACTGAACATCGATATCATGCTTTTCATCGTTTAGCACGCATCTGTCTACCACCCCAAATTCCCCCCCCCCCCCCCCCCCCCGAATTCTGCTCAATGTAGCGCCTAAATTAGATCCAGAAAATGGGCGTCAATGCCGTGATTACGTACCTCGTTCGAGCCTTCTGAGTAAAAATCTCGCATTTTTTTTTTTTTATTTCTCAAGGAGAATCTTTTGGAATTGATCCACCTCATCTCGATCTGGGTCCGCCCATACCCGATGGCCCGCACTTTAGCTCAGCTATGAATCCGGTGCGATTTAGCGTTTCTGCAGAGATCTTGAAATGAGCCCCCCGCCGCGCCCCCACAAGTCGGTTCACCGCCACTCCACTACTTCAGCCAAACCGTGCACGCCCTATAAGCAACTTCCCTACCCATCCCTGACCATTCGGCCCACACGTTTTTTTTTGGCCTACGTGTCGTGCGAGCCTAAGTTTACACAACGACAAGCATAAAACCCAAAAAAAAAACACGCTAAACTTCTGCTTAATATATTAGAAGGTTTATATTTAATTTACTGACGCATTCTGGTCGGGAGAAATCCGTGCGGCTCCTCCAAGTGAATTCGCTCAGAATGTTGTTCGGGCTTGATTCGACATTCAGTAAGAAGCCTGAAAATGTTGGCTTTGATTGACGCGAACCGGGCGCCTGATACGATGATTTACTAAAATATTTTGTTATCCAAATAAAGATACTACTCAAAAAAGCGAAGATACTAGTTTTTCAAGTAGAAACTAGGTCAAAAAAATCTAAAGATGCCTAGTAGGTGGTACACTTTAGGTCTTATCATTTTCTTTGTTCAAAAAAAATTTACTGCCAAAAATTGGCACAAGTAAAGGTGGAAGTGCAATTTTGAGAAGCGTGTCCAAATAGTAAACAAATAAACAACAATCGTGGGGAAAGCGATATACATATGTACCCTCTGCTTCCTATACCTAGATGCGCGTCGAGTGCAGACCACACACCACAAGTGACGACGGCCTCCAAGTAAATCTGGTTACTAGTGTTCATAGTGATAGCTGATAGTTGGTAAATGATAGTTGTAATTAGTGACAACTGATAGAATACAACTGCAACAGGCTAATCATTTCATTGGCAAAAACACATTTTGTGGAGGCCGTCGTCACTTGTGTTGTGTGGTCTGCACTCGACGAGCATCTGGTTTTTGGAAACAAGGTATGTGTTGTATAATAGCGTCAAAACTGTCATATATTACACATTTGAGCAAATGTTATGCTTATTAACACATTCACGACGATTCGCTCTTATTCGCTTTTTGGTAGGATAGGCGATATTGCCTCACCTCCCTTTCATGGGCCAGGGTCGACCCTACCGTTGTACTTTTCGGAAATTTTTACGACCCCTCCCCTTCCAATCAAAAATTTCACGACCCCCTTCACCACCCTCGCCATCATGGTCGCTGTTTCTATAGTATTTAATTCTGAGACCAGTCGACACACCTAACTCCACCCACTTTTTCCTCGAAATTGGCCGTCGCAGAAAATTTTTCCCCTACTCGCACTACGCGCCCTAAACTCACCCAGCCAATTATCCATGTTCTCTCACGCAACACTCCAGTTTCACATGTGAATTCATGAGGCTAGAGCGAGTACGACCCCCCCACCTACAAACTCAACAAAATACGACCCTCCCCCTCACCTACAAGCTCAACAAAATACGACCCCCCCCCCGTTGGTACTTGTCGCAACATAGGAGTTGACCTTGCCATGGACTTTGGTAGTTAATGAACAAGAACTTGAATAGTACAGAGTAATTTTAGTAATCTACAAGAACTTAATTATGTCGATATCAAAAATATGCAAAAAAATTACCGCAGACGGTGGGGAGGCGAATAGTGCTAGCAGCTCATGGGCTGCCAGACTATGCGCGAAGAGGAGAGTATCAGCGAGAGAAAGAGAGCGACAGATTAGAGGGCGCCAGACAACAGTGATAAAAGAAAAAAACGCAGCTGCTGCAGCTTTTTTCTGCAAGGGTCTAGCGTGGGCTGCGCACAGTCTTCTCTAGCGCCTAACTGCAGATCGAAGAGAACGTTTACCTGGAGTGCTTTTAAGTGGCATTTTGAGCATGAGCTGAGAAAAAAACTGGAGATTAGGTGATGTTGGGTAGTGTAATGTGGTAGCGCATTTGTCAGGAAAAACAAGAGTTGCGGATTCGAGTCCCGCCAGAAGCGAGGAGTTTCTATTTTCCATGCGACCGAATATAAAACGAGCACATATTCACCAGTGATAAAATGCCGTGCTAGTGTTGGAAGCTCTTCTATACCTTTCAAGTGGGTGCTTCATCCGCGATATTTCCAAAGGTTTTCTGGCACTTTTCATCATAAATCACTGTGTGTTAGAAAAATCTGTTCGTGGCATAAAGAATAAAAGCCGTGCTATGTGGTGTTAAATTGTTGATGCTTACCAGGAAAGAAAAATGCGACTGGGAATATCGGAAATCCAGTTATCGATATTCATAGCGATGACTTGGTGAAGCACTTTTGTTTCTGGCGGGAGGCGGGCCTCGTAGGGAAACATGTCGTCGCAATGGAGACCGTCTAAATTCCATTCGTTCTCAGATTAAAAGTGGATTCAAGCTATATCTGAGATGCACAAAGTATTCAATGCGTTCGATCCTCTGAATGACGCATGCATTCTAGCTTGCAATTCGAAATACGTAATGCTTTCATAGATTTGTTCTACACAGTTTCCTTGCGGGGGAGGGGGGGGGGGCGGTGGAAGAGGGATGTTGGCGGCAATGGGAGCAAGGTCAGTGTGTGGGAGTGTTCTCGTCCTCCCAGCAAAAGTAAGCACCTAACGGATCCTGTAGTCGAGCTGGTCTACAAAATCAAACACTATAGAATGCAGGACTTCTGATGCGGATGGACAGGCGAGGGTGGTGTAAGCGGTTGACCCGAAAAGGGGGGGGGATCGATATAGAGGCCCTCCAGATAGGGGAGCGCGATCGTAAGCGTTTTCAGAAAATTTCGCCACGTGACGGGTTGACACGGGTGACCCTACTATAAACCGCAGTTCAGGTTAGAGCCACGAGCAGCTTTTCAGCGGTTGGCCGGTCGCTTATCGCAGTAGCTTGCGCTTTTCGGCCAAGATGAAAATCGCCATCTTTGCGGGACATACCTGGGACAATATGAGCCCTCCTAACCAAAAACTGCTTGAGACGACTCTTTCCCTTTCCGTTTAATGGAACTGTTGCTGACCCCGAAAAATCACTTGCGCAAAGTTACATCTGCCCGGAAGGATTTCAGTCAGCTCAGTTTTGCAACAATACTGCTCGTATTGAGTAAATTGGGAATGAAGAATAGCTCACCTTTTATAACGTACGGAACAACTGTGGGATCTTTCGACGTGAGCTTGCTCACCAGACTCCACGGATCGCGTCCTCCATTGGCAATCACAACGTTCGTGCCCTGAAATCGTTGGAGCTCCATGCTAAGCCTGAACGGGATTCCGCGATAAGGTCGAAAGTCGATGGAGGGGAAACTTACCCAGTGAGAAGGCAGGAGGACCCCTAAGGGTGCGGATCAATGGATCAGCGAAGGATATGCCGCTGACGATCTAGCATGGCCCTCCCCGCGGCGCTATTGGCGCGCTATCGGCGCGTACGCCTCCCTCTCGCTGTCTGACCCTCTAGCCGTTTAGCAGAGAGAGCGTTAGCGTTGAAGAGGGCAGCACCGATGAGAGTCGCATCAATGCGGAAATCAACGGGCAAGGAAGGGGTCCCATTTCTCGGGTTCTGGGCCGTTTCTCATGGTTTTTTCTTCTTCCTGCACCACTGACCATCCTCTACCTTATTTCCTAAAGAGCTGTTTTTCATCGTAAAGTCCTGAACATGCGAAATGGACCCTTCTTTGCCAGTTGACTTCCTCATTGATGCGACTCTCATCGGTGCTACCCTCTTCAACACCAACGCTCTCTCTGCAAAGCTGCTAGAGTGTCAGGCAGCGAAAGAAAGGCAATTTTCGTGCTCGAGTAGAAGTGAAATCGCGTCAGGAAATCACAGAAATTGTCGTTTGGTCTGGCAGTCAGGAAAAGAGAAAAAACTGCTCATTGTCAAAACCATAAAAGAGTGCTCGCCGATCGTGTAGACCGGTTTTGCGCCTCACTCCTGTGGCGGTTTCAATAGATGGTCATCTTTTCATTGTATTCTATTGTGTCCTACCATATCAAGAGGAAGGGGTAACCAATGAGTTTTCCGCAGAGGTGGGGCGCAAACCCCATCCCTACGACTGTGGCGCAGTGTAATTTTAAGTCTCAAGGAATCCTTCTGTTCATTCTCATTGATGATAGACGAGTTACAACAATTGTTTCTATTTTCGAACTCAACAGCCCACGTCCATTCAATCGCGAAATGTGCCTTTGAGGGTCCTAAGTGATCTATTCCTTACCTTATAGCCATCAGCTCCACCGTAACGTTCAATTGTGGACCGAACTGCCTTCTCGATATAGTCGCCGTCGAATTCCTCACCAAAGACGTCACGGCACATATTAATGTAGAAGCTATAAATCAATTTTGAATTGTATACGTCATCTGCTATACTTGAAATTTAAATCTTCAGGTCCTCCTGCGACAACATTTTGGTTGGTTTAATTTAACAGCCCGCGCTGCTTCGGCTTCTAATTTTTTTTTATAAATTCGAGCACCTCTTTGAATAATCATACCACCACTTCAGTCCCTTAGAAGCAGGGATTCTGTGGCGAAAGATCCCGTTTTTAACCCGCAAATGCGTTACATATTCCGCGAACTTTTTTTTTAGAGGGTTATTTGTATTTAGCCATACTTTTGTGAAGTTCGCTGTTGAACATGTACCTCGAGAGGTGATTGGCAAACAAGACCAGCTTCCGTGTTGTTGGTGAGAATGTTTAGATTTTAAAGATTTACTATTCGCTCGAGAGGGTCACTATGACTGTGATCCGTTATGTGAAGGGCAAGTTGAAAGTCCTGCAATCCCATGGGAATTAATACGATCTCACCTCAGTGATACCAATGGACCAAAGATGCTATTTATAGCGCCATCGGTTCGTTAGGAATGAGCCAAATTCGGTACAGCTTTGCCACAACCATGCACGATCCATTGCTGAAATTGGTAGACGTCGGACAAAGATAAATCAATCACTGCACAAAAACGGAGTGTTTTCTGGTGAGGAGGGGGACGCGGTTTTGCGAAGCGCAGTCCCATAACACGGACCGCGAATAAATTTTAATTTGTGTAGCAAGGCATCCTCTCACTCGCGTTTGTTGCATCTGTACTAAATTTGTCGCTGTTGGGTTATGTGGGGCGCTGGAATTGTCGACACACTTGTGCAAATCGCACGGGGAATTTGTCGACGACTCGTCGAGGATTTTCGCGTGTTTCAGCCACGCCCTCTCGCGCAGACATTCACTCTCGCCACGTGCTAGCCGTCTGTGCACTCCGCGCGCATATTCACTCTCTACACTATTTGCACACGATACAGAGCCATGCTCGAAGATTTCCTCGACCGTCATTCAGCCTGCCGTGGCCACTGGCTCGTTGACATCCGAACAACTTATCCTTCACGAGACTGATCTACCTCTACATCCTGTAGTTCAGTCCGAGTTCGCGTGCAAGCAGGAATGATCTGTGAACAATTCAACATTCCTCACCTGAGCTGTTCTGATCAATCCCCCCCCCCCCAGGGTCAACCGTCCGTTGGACAAAGTCCAACGCGACGACGAGAGTAATGCCGAGAGTGAACGTACGCACGGAGACACAGACGGCTCGCGGGTGGCGAGAGTGAATGCCGGCGCGGAGAGCGGTGAACATCGGTCCAACGTCGCTCCAATATCGGTCCAACGTAACGGTTGACCCTGCCCGCCCCCCCCGCTAGTAAGATGGAGCTATTTGCGAATTTGCTAGATATGCCGTTCCAGCCGTCAAGATCTTGTTGTGTCTGCCGCAGGAAGACGCCCTTTAGCTCGTGATGCAGCGGTATATGAGACAAGAATTTGTCTGTCTGTCTCTCTTCGTCCCATACACTCTCTTCGCCCATTCTCTCTCCAATGCGTCCAGTGTCTGCACCATTAACAGCAGAAAGCCACAAAACACAAAAAGGGTCTTAATATGGAGGAAATCGGCAATTTCTTCTCCTTTTTGTTCACCTGCGGTCCACATTATGTTTCTGTTCACTTTTAAGCGTGGCAATCGTGTTGTGATCTTCTGATGTTTGTGAAAGCCAACCTTACCTGGCTTTTTGACTAAGGAAAAGATAGAATGATCAGAGACTTACAGGCATATGCCTCCTCATCGAATTGTTCTTGCCGAAAATATTTTACCACATCATCGTAACTACTCGGTTTGTATGGAGTCATATCCACTAGTAATTTGTTTTGTATTGCTAAAAAACTAAGAACTTCAGTGTTTCCTAATTATAAGCTTACCCTTAAATTTTGCATTACCAAGATGAGCAGCCAATAGAATTTCTCTCGCATTACTAAAACCAGAAAAAATTCCTCGGCAAAAGTAATACGAGATGCCTCCCCCTATTTTGCGATAGCGTACCAAAAAACTTTTGTGAGAAATTCTCTACAAAATCCCGTGAAGTCGTCAATTTTCGTCCTTTCTCAATATCAGCTAGATTTCGAACCGTAGAACTTACTGTACAAATCGTTGATCACAGCCATGGAACTTAATTGATCCATGGATCCATCATTCATCACTGTACATAATTCTTGCAACGACAACGTTTTACCACCTTCTTTCTAAAGTAATTATCTTGAATGTTGGAACAGTTCATGATAAAGCTACATATCAGCGCCATTGATAATAAAATAGTAGTTCGGTGCATAATTACCGGATCACCTTCCACATTCCATGAAATATCCTTTGAGTCATTGAATTTTTGAAAATGTCTTGCGTGAGATGGTAACAAAAACGATTTTTCAGCACCTACGATTGGTTCCACCGTAATGCACGTTGGTACTGGAGCGCGCTGCTAGCACTGTGGCAAGCACCGTTCAACCAGAGCGCTAGTACGAGCGTCCTTCAAACGACGCTCAACCAAGGGTAGTTTATCTCACAATCCACGGATTTCCAAGGGCAACCCTGAAAGATTCAAGCAGCTCTCCCCTCGCCGCTTGCGCGTAAGGGCGAACACTGCGCGCGCTTGGCAGCCTTGCGGGGTAGGAGCTGCAACCAGGGTGAATAACGGTCGAGGAATTTCCTCGACCATAGCTCTCTACCATGCGAGAGTAGTGCCGAGAGTGAACATCCGCGCGGAGAGCACAGACGGCACGCATGGCGAGTGTGAATGTCCGCGCGAGAGATCGTGTCTGATCGGGCAGAGAATCCTCGACGTGCCGTTGAGGAATCCTCAAGCGATATTCACCCTGCTGCCCGCGTTCGATCCGCCGTGTGGCCGACCCGACTCCTGCCACACTCTGACTCACACACCTTCTACAGCAATGGTGCTCCGTACAATTGGCACCCATATTCTCGTCGTAGAGTGCGCAGAGAAAACGACAGGAGGGCACGTCAAAAACAAGTAGATCACATGTGACATTGCGCGCTCCGGCACCAACTCTCTACGTTGGGACGCTACAATTCAGTGCTGAAGAAATTCATTTTTTTTCCGATGTAGCCATGCGCGCTCAGTCTATTCTGAAAAAATACAACTTTATTTGCTTTTTCTGGTTGACATCGACCCCAATTTCCTCCGAAACCCTTCTGTTAAGCCTTTTCTTTCATGACTACAAAACGAGTTTTAAAGTCCCTGGTTACATAAGGATCATCTAGATTCATTTAGAAGATAGTTGAGGGCGCTCTCCCTCAATCCATGTGTACCGGTGGTTCCCTTTACTCAGAGTTGGCTTTTATTCGAAGATGATTCACTCCTAACACCTCGTGACTGTCAATCCTGACGCTCTATGAAGCGTTGAATAGGCATCTGGGCTAGGGCAGCCGTCTCTGTCGGAAGGCTTCCTATATGGCGAGGTGACGGTGCTGACACATCCAAAGATTTGGGAATTGAAGTATGGTAAAGAATCCAACATGCTCTCAACCTAAATCAACTAAAGTGATGCTCCCGTTGATTCACTGTCTTATTCGCTGACCATCCAGCTTATTTACCAGCGAGGACGAGTGGGTACAGAGTTGTAACTAATCCACAGGCTGCAGTAATTTACCTCCAACAATTTGGGAGTCTAGGTGTGACTGCTAGAGTTCATCTCGCAACAATGTCAGGTAGTCACTGAATTTTTGTGGAATACGGAGAGGAGGCTAGCACTGGATACTACCGGTGAGCATATCTTTATTGTTTAGTCAGTGCGGATGTCAAGCGTCCACAGTTTTATCGCAATGGCGCCTTTAATGGGAGAGTGACACAAAGAAAATACGCATTTTTATTGAACTGTTGAAAAAGTCATTGGCAAATGAAAAGTCCTGAAGAACTAGATGACTTTTAGAGACACCTCTTCCACTTCCACCTTATAGACATGGCCACGTGCCAGCAGATGTACCTGCTCCCTCTCTTGTCGACCTGCTGGGGAAGACATCTTCCCCGTAACTGTCATGATCTTAAGACCGATATCCATATTTCTCTGACAAAGACGCGCAAATGGTACTAAGGTGCCGTTAAACCCACACTGAGCAATGTGTTGCTAATGATTGGTGTGTCAATGCTAGCTTGATGAAAGTATGTACTGGAAGGTATATAATGTTGATTAGAAGTAACTTGTTCGAGGTGCAGTTTACGATATTGTCGCGTGATATGCCGCACCGCGGTGCGCGAACTTTCGGAGTCTTTCTGGCTCAACCGCCAGCCGCCCTAAGATCAATCGAAGGGAGAAGGTGTAGGTGTGCGGCTGACTACAGAGCTGGGCGCCCTGGCTTTTGACCTACATGATCAATCCCCCGCGGGGTCTTCCTGACGGGGGCGGGGTCGGGGGCTACTGCATAGTAATCAATAATAAGGGTTCAGGGGGTTCAGCGGCGCGCCTAGCCTCGAGGGGTCCTTTGGAGTGATTTGATCTACATGATCAACCCTCCGGAGGTCCCTAAAGCAAATGACCTGAAGGCTTTACCTATTTAAGCCACGTTACTACCAGCTCGGGGTGGCAGGGGGGTGGTAGGTGGACCTCTCTGGCCAGCATCTCTAAAGGTTCGTTCTCATCTCCCTCCATGACATTGTTTTAGTAGTTTACTCCCTGTTGAATGAATCTTGTAGGTTGAAATAGTGTTTGGACGGGTAGTTTCCTAAATAGCTTTCGACTTTTCCAGGCTCTGAAGAAGGTGAAAGCACCGAAACGTCGGCCAAATAAAGCTATTGACAATCTTGGTCGGAAGCTCAGTACTAAACTATTCTATTCTGAAAATATGCCAAGATTCATACAAAGTCGAACTTGGACACTACTGGAATAGAAGTATTGGAGAATATATTGGAAGTCAAAATCAAACACAGCCAAGGTGGTTCGGAGGTTATGCACGACCTAACATACCTTATAGATACCACTTCGGTACTGTACGGTCAT